CTTCTTTACATAATACAAATAAACTCAAATGCATTCTGTTGCGATAATGTTATGGAAGGCAACTCTAGTCCTCAAACAACCCTTAACCAACGCCTCTCTCCCAACCCGCCATCAAAAATGTTCAGTTCTCAACCTTTGCAACGCCCATGCACAACAGCAGTGTAGAACCATCTCTTTGGTTTCAGACAACTTCCCTTAATCATTCTTTACGCTAATTCCACAACTGTCGTCTATTCAATGCTGCTCAAATTCTGCTATCTCTCCCACTTCCACCCTTTATAAATATTTATAATTCTGAGTAATCCAAAATCCTAAAGAGTTTTTGTGACATCTTCCAATCTTAAAATTAAAGAATAAAAACTTTCACTAGTCTTTGGAAAAATCGAGCTGCTTCTATAGATCCTCGTTGCTGTCCCAAGTGAAAAAGTGGGAAGTTTGTTTTGCAAACCCGGTAGCCTTCAACACGGATTTATAGGTGCGTGAGGAAAAAGATCACACAAAAAGTCAGCTTTTTACCTAAAAAATGACAGAATTTTTTTTGACCTTAAAACTGAAAAGTGCATGTCAATCACTTTTCATAAACAGAGGTTTGTGCTTGGTCACACAAAACTAAATCCCATAGAAAGCCGAAAACTCGCACTCACATCCCAACGATCTAAAGACTAGTAACCATCAATATGGAACTGCCGTATACCGACTTCAAGAGCAGCAATATTACGGTCCAATACAAGATTTATGAGGCGATTAAAATCACCCTCTCTATACCAAAACTTTCAAGCAGCCGATTCACAAAAACAAGCCAATCCCTTTCAAGATTGGTTTATACAGTCCCTAACCACACAGATATCACGGAAAAAATTAGGTAATGCTTATGCAACCAGCCTCCCTGGCCGACTGCCTGATGGAACCCCTCTACGTTCTGCAAGGACAATTACGGATGCTACAGACCACACATCAACAGGCAGTAGTGAACATGATGACAAAAGGTTATGCACCTCAAAATTTTAATACTTCGTTAGGCATAACATTCGTGCTAACCGAAGTACAACGCCCGTTGCCTCATAAACGCTTTAATCATGAGATACCGCAACTCCCACTTATTTCAACCACTAGACATTATATTGAGCAAATACCAAGTCTCTGAGACCTTGTTCACATTAAAGCTCAACGAAGGCTGCCACAACAAATGTGGATCCGAACCTTCCTCAATTAATAACACTTATAATATTAAAACTACACAAACCTAGAAAACCAATCGTTCCTTTTCCACCAAATGGTAGAAACAAAGTTTCAAGAGACAAAGGAAACCATACGCCAACGATAACCAAACTTACAAACATCAAATGCCAATTATTCACGAAAAGGTATGCAGCCAGATAAAAATACACAAAAGCTGCAACTCAAGCGTAGCAATTAAGCACCCGAATGCAAAATAAAAAAAATTAACAAGAACTATGAAACATAAACAAAACGCTTTTAGATCAAAATAAGTATCAAAAGACGACAACGTTCTTGCACATTTGCTCATAACACAAAACTTGCAATGCTGACAGTGAAGAAAAAATGAATGACAAAATATACCACGCATTTGACAAGAGGGTAAAACAAACTGGAACTGTAAAGAGAGTTACAACGGAATATGAATGACCGCCTAATATTTTGCCCACTTCTAACAGTTGATAAATGTGAACAATTCTTTCCTTTTTAAGCACTCTTCAAAAATCCTGCTAGTGAACAAATTACAGCCGAAAGAAACAAATGGCAAATTTAAAGTTTTTCAGAATGGGCTACAAAATACAATGTTCCTCATTAAGATCATTTAATAATCACGTTAAAGTTTAAGAAAGTGAACACAGTCTAATACCCGCAAAAAATTCCGTGAAAAGCTTATACGAAACGATTAAGGAAAGCTGAATAGAATTACATTTACAGTACTTAAAGAGCCAAAACCGATAAAAACTTGAGATCTATACCTTCCATCGTTTCAACAAAAGAACAATTAACAGCAATAACTTCTCAAAATACAATATCACAAAGAAATAATGGCTAAATAATACACATGTTCACGTCACCAACAAACTTCCGCAAATTTGCAACTACACGGGACTCCGTCGAGTTGACACGTACAATAAGATGACTATCCGGGTAAGCCCTCATATCACACTTCTTGTTAACAAGTCAACACATTCGTGTTTTTGGCAAAAAAGAAGAAACGCACGCAGCATCAGAAGATGACGATGACGATGCGTATATATTAGATGAGTCACTCAACCAAGGTGAAGGAGAATATCTATCTAGTTTTGGTAAACTGGCGGCAGGCCTTTGACTCGATCGTCTGCTCTGAGGAATTGCACAATTCAAAGTAGTATCCTGAGAGTTTCGCAAGCTGGAACTATAATCCATATGGGATCCTGACGACGTAGACAAACGTATCAAAGGCGATGCTTGCGTATAAGCCTGGGTACCTTAAATTCAATTAAAAAGTTGCGGCGACTAACATTTGAAGAGCGAGTCCCAAAAATTACAACCTAGAAAAAAAATACCTCCGCTAAAATTTGCTCTACCTGAAGGTAGCACTCTGTAACGTTTATTACCACTTGCGAGTATAGTTGGCTTTAGAACGGGCACCGAATTACTCCCAATGCGATACATACTACTGGTAGGAAGCAGAGATAACGCATCCACTCTCTCACATGAACTTTCCGAAACTAAATGTTACCCTTTCTAAATTTCACTCTTGAAAGAACAGACGACCACGGGATAGAAGCTGTGAAACTATGAGTGTCTCGAACAATGGAACAAAAGTTGAAAGCACATCACAGCAATTCCCGGGTAATTCAAAGTAAATCAGCGTGCATACGCATTTGTGGGTCACTGATATCATCGGGTTCCATAACATTAGACAGCATAGATTCTGGTTTTAAATCTCCATACGGCCGTACAAACCGCCTACCTGACCCTTGTAGCGTCTCTCCAGATGTGACAAATTCTAAAAGACCCAAAGTAAATAAAAAATTGCGTAAAGCTCAAAACATATTTAAGTAAAAGATAATGACTAAAACTAAGAATAAAGTAACTGCACCGTGTCTTTGGTTGGGATCACTGTTAGTAGTTAGCATCCTTTTGAAAAATGAAGGGGTCTCAGTTTTCTTGCTCCTCTGCCAAATATTCTGACCTCCATCATTACTGAGGTCCACAATACCCCACGTACCATGAGGATTTGAACGTTCAAAAACAGGCGTTATCAACTACAATTCACGCAGTGGCACAAAGAAAGGTTGTAGCAAAAAAAAAAAAAAATCTGTCCTCAAAACAATAAAAAACTTACATGTTCCGATTCAATTTCTGGAGGCAAATTCCCAAACTGTAGGCCACAAGGAGATTGTTGCGGGGAAAGAGGAGGGGGGACAGAGTTTCCAGAAAAATTATCAGACTGAGAATATAACGAAGACAGATGTGGCTCGGTGGGGGACAAAACATGAACTAAATGTTGGCCATCAACAAAATGTGTAGTTGGAAAACTGCTGCTAGATGGATAAAGATTTCTGCAAAAAAGGGCCAAATAAGTAGGAAATCTTAACTACAAATGCGACACGAGTTAGCTTTCCAAAAATTAACAAAATTTCTAAGTATTCTTCAGAAGCTATGCTTCTCTTCTCAAATGTGCAGAAGAAACAAATCTGTAAGAACTGAAAGTATTAGAGATCAGTGATACAAACTAGATTTCACTGGGTGTACTTGATTAAAATGTTTTAGCACATGAACACATTTAGGGGCATGTACCGTTTTATGAAAAATCGCTAATTACGATACGACTATATAATTTCAAAAAAATTAGAAACTGCAAACAATAGCGAAAAGTCTGATGAATAAAGTTTCATCACAAGAAGCAAATTTCAAAAAACAAAATTTTCAAAAAAAAATAACAAACCAAACCGATACTGAAACATAAAAAAAGAAGAAATATGAATAGAATATGCTTGTACCTCGGCAAGTAAGAGCCGTGACATTGTTCATCCACAACTTCAGCTTCCGAATTCATACTCACTTCACTAACAGCGATTCTACTATCAACAAAGTCCTGAGCACTGTCATGTAAACCAAGCGAAACCTCACTGCCCGATGGCCTATCTCCTAAATAAATCTTTCATAAGAAAACTGCGAAAACTTGAAAGCCCACAATAAATGTCCAACAGCTATTTGCAAAAGACTTATAAAACTTTTATTTTTTAAGACTAAAAAAACCTTTCAATAGAAACTGCGGTTCCGAAAAAGGAATGATAAATGAATCCGAGGATAAAACTTCATTTTGAACATTCAGAGTCCCATTGCCATAACTTTCAGATGTAGAAGCAAGGCAAACTTCTCCCAAAGAATCACATGGACTGAAAGCACGTAAAGTGCAAATTCGTGAAGCAGGTACAACAAAAACTTCAAAAGCTTCTGTTTCATACACAGTAAGCACCCTCAAGAAATTATAGCTGCAACCTTTCATGAAACTTAAGATGATCAGGTTGCGCTCGCAACACCTTAGGAATGGCCATTTGCGCATTCACTTGACGAAAATCTTCTTGCTTACGCTGTGCAAAAACCGTCCGTTTCTTCGGCACACTAAATTTTCCCTTGTCAAATCTAATACAGTATCCTTAAAGACCAGCTAACCCTGAGCTTACAATAAAGGACCTAACAGGTCACTTCAAAAAGCAAAAGATAAAATAATGTGAACCAAAACCGCAAATCCCAATCTCATCCGATGAAGAAAAATGAAAGAACGATTGCAGATAAAAAGACGCCACCTCCAACCTACACTTTTCAATACAACTTTACTGAAAGATAGTTTTTAAAAACGGCTTGCTTCTCGTGTAATTTTTAATTTTTGGTATTTTGAAAACTTCAGTACAAAAATTTTTCAGCACGTGCGACAACTTATAAAATGTACTATTGAATCCTCTCCCAATTTCCTCTTCCCCTCCATCCATTTAAAACTACTTGCCCGTTTTTCAGCCAGTGTGCACAAAACTAGTTCCTTCTTCCAGAGCCAAGAACATCGCAACCAGCTTAAAATAGCTTGCTTCAGCAGTCACTAATACGTCACCAACACTCTCTTCTCTCTCCTTAATCTTAACCTACATGACTAAACCCTTCAAAAAAACTTGAAAAATAGTAAACAAGGGCAAAACAAGAATCTTAATGAAGCCATTATAAAAACCCCTAAAAATACCAAAATCCTAGTTAATCAAAACTATCAGTGCCAAAAGATTAAACCAAACAAATCTGGGTTTTAGACAAGACTTAAGAACCGTAAAAATTTTATTTGAAGGATTTAACTTCTTTTTTACTGCCAGTGAGTCCTTTACTCAAAGTATGAATAGAAAAGGAAAAAGTCCCCTCAATCCGTCTCATAAATAATCTTTTGAAAAACATTCAACCACAAAAGCACTTGAAAGGAAACTTCCACCAGCAAATTTCAATGCTGAACATGACAGAGAAGTTTAATTCACTGCGTAAGCAACAAGAAATATAAAATTGATAAAAACTCACCCTGCTTCCAGAAGAAAGATAAATTATTTTAATAAGGATTTAAATTAAACATACTTTGGCAAGTCAACTGTCAGAGGTTTCTGGCGGAGCCGAATATTCTTACACATCACAGGTTTCTTCTGCAAAAATCCGTTTGTCACTTTAAAAATCAAGAGGTAAAAATCAAAACTATGTTCAAAAATCACTTGCTAATTTCGTAACACCGAGTAAAAGAAGTAACAAATTAGAGAAGTAACAAACAAAAAAATTCTAACTAAGTCATGGTTCCACTGATTACGTGACTGGCATTCTGATAAATGTTTTTTCAATATTGACGCATTTTCCTTTTCCCGTCGTTTACGTCTTGTGGTCATATTATTGGACATGGGATTTATACTTAGGGTGAGATTACTAGTTCTAAAAAATGAAGAAATCATTCTACCTAAAAAAATAATGTAATAGCACTATCTTGCGGTAAAAGCTTTCCACTTGGAAAAACTACCGTAAAATACAAACAAGAAAATTATAAAACTAACGAGAAAGATGTAGAGGCACTTATTGGATCTTGGTGATGAACGTTTGACGGGCAAACAAATTCGTTTGAATTGCCAGGAACATCCAGATCTTCTTCCGCGCAGTAAACGTGTCCAACATTTTGATTGTTATTAGTATTACTCATAACAAAGCCATTAGATACGCTCTCCCTATACAGGTGAAATGCAGGTACATAATTCACTTTTGAAACAACTCCATCCTGAAGTACATCGTAAGACAGCGATCGATTCGACCTCATTTTTGTCCCCTCATTGTTACCCAAAAAAGAGCTTGAAGTAACCAATTCCGTGTAGTCGGAATTGAACATAAAGTTTTTCTGTGGAGGATTAAGAAAAAACTGGGATCCGGACGGCAAAAGATTAGGTGCACACTCCCGTTTTCTGACAACCTTGGTTTCAGGATGAAGTGTTGGAGTACTTTCTGATGACGTATCCATACCACTACTAGACAATCTCTTCCTAGCTTTTGTTGATAAGATAAAGGTGTTAGATCCGCAAGCTTCCACAACTAAAGGCTCCTGCTCCACCTCAGGAGTCTCTGTCTTCGTTATATATACTTCTGGTTTCAAAACTGGAGGTTCTTCCTCTTCTGCAGCACCAATTGAACACAACTCTTCCGAAGCATTGTTATATGGTGAATCCTCCTCTTTAAGAGAGGGTTTTTCAGATATCTGTTCCAGTGGTGTAGAACACGAAGGAATTAAGCTAATTTCAGGTCCCACTGCATCGTTTTCTTCCTCTTTATTTACAAGCGGTTGTTTTAGAGAAGCACTGGCAAAAGATCGAAGCCTGAAGTTCTTAATTCAATGTTTGGAGGAAACTTGAATATAAAAATCAAAGAGAAAAAAGCATTCATCCCGAAGATTAAAGGAAAATTTGAAACCTTGTCCTGACAGAATCAAGCGAACTGCTTTTTTTGGCCGCTTTTTTCCTCGAACTTAGGAAGTCTACTAATAATAATTCTGGAGACTCAGAACTACGTTCCTAAAAAGCCGACTAAAGGTGTAAATTACGCGAAGACAAAGAACAACCAGGTAAACTGAATGGCCTAATAGATTTACATCGACATCTGCGCTACGATCATTATTGAAATAAACTGCTGGACTGGTTGTGTACGAAAAGCTACTGTCTTCCTGATCTGCGAGATGCTTTTCTTGCTGAAAACAGGAAAACCACAATAAGTGGATAGGCTAAAAGCGAGGAAGAAACTTTGAGTAATAGAAATACACTGGTTCCTCATACTGATCATAAAAGAAATAAAGGATCATAAGTGAATCCCACACTAAAAATTGTCAACACCAGTACACAGTGAACAACAATGAACGAAAACCACTAACATCATGTGGACTATCAAGCGATGCTGATGTTGACGGAAGAGATGAAATACCGCGTGTTTCTGCAATGAAACTTCATTAAAAGGAGCAAAACAATGTAAAAAAGTATGAAAAAAAAGATATAATTACTTTTTTCTTCTAAACGTTTTTTATTTCTGAAGTGATCAAGCGAGAAGTCGTCAGACGACGACGACTCCGGTCTCCGTTTTTTCTTCTTCTTCGTTTTCACCCTGCCATTTATAGTCCTCTTACTTCCACTTTTTATATATCTTGTTTGATCATCCGTAGAATTTAAATAAGTTGAAGATCTTGTTTCCAAAACAGCCTGTTCAAAGAAAAACCATAACCTTGATAAGCCATCACTCTTTTAAAAGCAGCATCTAGTCTCTAACAAATGTAAAAGCAAAAAAAGCAAAGCCTACATGATCTAGATACAATGGACGAGGTTCAGAAATCTGAACTGGTTCTCTGCGTGATACTTTCAATGCCAACTTCAAATCATCTCTCTGCTCTACAGAATACTGTGTTGGGATCACACGAGAATAGGTTCTTTCTGGTGCTTTGCACACCGTTCTGAAAAGAAAAAAAAAGAAACTCTTCGAGAACGCTGAAAAAGTACACGAGTTAGAAAATGAAAAAATTTCAGCTGGCTTCAAAACATATCTTATACAATCACTTTTGAAAAGCCAAGAACAAATTGAAACACGCGAGCACTAACGTCGGATAATTTCCAGGTCGTTTGATAAAAGATGGAGTTGGGGCATTTACTTCGTACGGACAAGACGAAGTCACATGTGGAGGTGAGAGTAAAAAGGTCTGACAATCATCAACAGAAAAAGGGGATTTTGCACGAGCATGTCTCACACGCATATGGTGACCATATCCGACCTCTTTCAAAATTGCGCCGCAGGTCTAAAAGAAACCTTCTCGAGATCAAGACAGAAAACATACAAATTTAAAAAGCAATAGACCTTGCACTCAATAAGCTGCATTGAGTCCACCTCATAACTCGGATAATACCCGTAACAAGCAGCTTCTGAAACATTAAAAAATTATTAGCAACTAGCAAGTGAAAGTGAATATTCTGACAGCAATTCTAGCGTACCATTACCAAGCAAACATAATGTAACGAAACGAAAAAAGACTAGTAAGACATACTTTGATAGGGCATCGCAGCAGCATCAGTAGGTATAGCATAAACCTTCGCGGTGCGCGAACAATATCTACGACTATTAGTTTCTTTCCATGAATCCCAACTAATACCTTCTGGCACATCATTGTCACTGCTTTCATCAGAAAACATTACAAATTTAGGACAGTATTCGTCACACTTGTATTCGAGTTGGTTCGCAAAGGAAAATGCTGCTCTGACCGAAGGTAGTATCATTCAAATTATCACATAAAAAAGATGAACATGTTCAGCAGAATTAGATAATAGGCCTACTATTCGCACTGCCACAGACTACGCACTCGTATTCTATCAGCAGCATAAATCCTACCACAAACCTTCTAAAAAAAAATTGGTTAATAAAAAACGAAGCCGACTTTCATAGTAACCAAATGAAACATGCAAACGGCAAAAGAACGAAGCAAAAACGACACAAAACATCCTTTAACGCTGATCCGCAGCCTACAGGTTCTGAATTCACAGTAGTAACTTGATCCGTGATCTCACTGAAGACTTTGGTCGAATACAATGAAAAAACTTCTCCTGATAACACCGCTGGCATAACTCCAAAGAAATGAGACAATAGAACTAAGATTGATTATTCATTTTATTTTTCTTTTAAAGAAAATTTTCAGCATAAGCTTTGCTGACCTTCAAAGTAAAATAAATTGCTGCAGTCACAAGTTGATTCATAGGCTGTAAAATGGCCGTTTCACAAAAAAAAAAACTCATTTACCGTAAAGTGAGCTCTTTAACTACTTAGTAAGTAATCACAAAAACCGGACGCCAATCAAAATGGCTAGACTGCGAAGTGAAATATAGAGGGTGAAAACGTTCAAATCAAATGATTAGCGATCTCCAAAATGCCACTTTTACATTATCACCTAATTAATAGGTAATCTACTTTTCTTACAAATAAGACAATTAATAAGTAGCTAAGAATTCAGTGAAGACCGTAGCAAACAACAAATAAAAGCATGAAACATGTGGGATTAAATATCAATCGGTC